GACAGACAGATGATTTAAAATGAAATTTGAATATGGCCCGTTTCTATGGTGATAGATGGTCTATATATTGCCCTATATTAGATAAACATTGATATAAAGTTCATTTGTTGAAAATTCAATAAAAAAGGAGAAATATATGGCAGTTTAAGTTCAGCTCCAATTAAATAATTAGTGCTTATTCATCCAAAATAGTGCCGTTGTCTTTACTACTAGTGCTTTGTTGTGTCATCCTTTGTCAAAAATTAAGAGATGCTGATTGAATCTACAAAGTACCATATCTCGAGAACGGTTACTCTGATTTTCATCAAATAAAGTGCATTGTATTGCTCTAGTAGAGATCTGACTAATGACACCACTCTATGATATGTGTATAATTTCCCCCTGAAATCCCTATTGATACAGTGTAACAATGTCGGCGCCGGTGATATATTACCAGTGCGCAACGTAGCCAAAATAAAAGGCATGACCATTTGAACACTGCTATTACAAGACTTGTAGGAGGTAATACATTTGGGACGAAAGTATTTAAAAAACAGATTTGGGCTGTTGCCATGGTAGTGGTGGGTCAGGATTGTTTTTCCAATTAGTGATGGTACGACCTACCTGTCAAGTATGAACAAAATCAGCCAAGCCACAAAAATCACAGAAGAGTTAGTTAAAAAGCCATACCTGGTGAACAGTTACTCTAAATTTGGGGTCAACTTTCTCATTGATGAAAAAAGATATCAAAAATTCAAATAATATCATTGTGCCCACACTCAAGCCGAGTACAATGAGCTATGTCTGAGGTGTTGTATCCTAAATTTGTAGGAGATACATTTAGCTCGAAGCTATCCAAAAATATTTTTTTACTGTTGCTATGGCAACGATGGACCAACATTTTTTTGCAGATTTTTCCTAATAACTAGGGTGAAGGTGTGACCTACCTGCCATGTTTGAGCGAAATCGGCCAAGCTAAAAAAATCACAGAAGAACTAATACGTGAAAACACTGGAAATCACACACACAAATGATTTGAGGGGCAATCCTCTTGGAGCGGATCGCCAATACCATGTTCATTAGCATATTGACCGTGAAAATACCGAAAACATTATTGCATGGGTGATATGCAAATTAGTTTTAGTCAAAATAAGTGACTGCCATTACTGTTGTTTAAATTTCATTTCACTCGGCAAGTATATTCATGTACCCCAAGGGTAAAATATCGCACTTCTAAATATTGTTTATTTCTGCTATGTTTCGAAAACGTTTTTTCCCTGAAATAAATTCCAGTGAAAATGTCATTTACCTCATACTCTATTGAGACGCAGCACAGGGTAAATCGGATTCACATGTAATGCCTGAAAACGTTTCAGCGAAAATAAATTAAGTGAAATTCTATGTGACTTCATAAGAGTTGGAAATGAACAAATTATGTGATGCCCGACCCTACCACTCCATACAGAATGTAGACTATACCCCCAAAACATCCTTTCACTCACGGTTTCACCAGTCTTTCATTATTTTCTATTGTAATATAAATTTTGCGATTACTCTGACCATGTAACTGTAACCACAGACCGTCCAGGTGCTGTAACTAAATCCTTGTATAAGCACCGGTAAGACAGGCTTGAACTATGCATGTGAAGACAGCCGAGAGGTATATTCAATCCTATAGATTTCTCATTGTTTGGTAACTATTTGCTGCAAATGCAACAAAAATCAATATAAAAATATTACCCACACAGCATTCTACAGGTTACTTGTAGTATATAGTAATACAAACACAATGTGCTATATTGATTGATAGTTTTAATAATATGACGCTACAATTGTGTAATGCAATGTACTCGAAGTATTTTGATTTTTAAAATATGTGATAAGTGAGCTTAGAGGGCGTTATTTTAATATACGTATTTATATTTGTAAACCTTTGCATTCGTGGAATGATGTGCATGTGAACGCAGATGGCGCTCTTTGTGGTTGACATTGATTCAACACGTAGGTTCCTCAGTGGTGGTAAGAGCCAACTGTCCTTGCGGAACATCCTTGTCACCAAATTTCCATGCAAAACAGATTAGCGAAGTATGATTGATATCAGAAATGCTCAAATGAAAATTGGGTATGATCAGTGTAATGTAATTGTACAGTCACTTGTGGAATGAAAATCCAAATAAATAGATCAGTACTATTTTTATTATTTGTCTTGGTTTTTGTATCACTATTACTATAATAAAAGTTATGAAAGGTTCCTATAATGATATCGTGTTGCATGATATCCTATAATGTGCTAGTGTGATCAGCAGTGTAATGCAGGATTCTTTGTTATAATGCATATCGTGGAATGCTCCCACACCACATCTGGATGCATTATATCCTGTCGTGCGTGCATTGTAGTCTTATATACTGCAATGCGCTATCACGAAATTACTATAATTTAAGCATATTCCCATAGTACGTATATGGCATTATAGCTGCACTAACTTGAATTACATATGATGCTACATTGTTTAATCTGTTTTAAGCATTGTTGAAATCGATGCGTCTTTTTCACTGCAGCCCAGTTTTATAATTTTAGAAATATTATAGTAATGAATAGCGATGAAAAACCGAGATAAAGCAGTAGTTCTGGTCACCCCTCAAGTGACTGTAATCTGCATTCAGTGTCTCGTGGTCTTTAAGGTAGCTTATATACTTATTGAAATGTTATTTATATTGTGGTAGAATAAACGTCATTTATCACCATTGCAATGTCAGAAAATATATTTGGAAACTTTAACAATGGAATACAAGAGGTGTTCGCTGTTGTCACAGTAAAGCAAAATAAATAATCTAAACAAATTGCCATTGTTCTGCAATGCAAACAAATAATACTACAATAAAAAAAGCAAACAAAAAAGCCATTAGCCAGTGGATTGTTATCATATCTGATTATGTCAAATATAACATAAGTCAGGGGTGCGAATAATGTTCAAAAATTATTACAGAGTTTAGAGAAAATGCTGAAACATGAACATTTTCAAATTGCTTTATGTAACATCATTAGCATTATTTTAGCATTATTTTAGTGTCTATCATGTTAGCTGCATCAACCAGTGCCTTGAATGGTTAACAATCATTAGTTAATCATTAAACAAGTGACAATTTCATAGATTGGTTGTCATCTTGAATTACTTGACAATTATTGAAATCATAAACTGTTTAACAAATTGATCTGAATTTATTATTTTATATCAATGAGTCAGTTGTATATACGTTCGTCAATCTCGTCATGATTGGTCACGTTCCGTTGTCGATACAAACATAACAAAATTCTTAACAAAATAAATGTTACCCTTGTATAGCAAATAACAATCTTTTTGTGAATCGATGATATGTCTAAAGTATATAACGATTGGGTAATATGGCAACAGATTTTTACACTATGTTACATTTCGACGTTAAACATAGGAAGACAGATACATATTGTATTTAGTGTATTGCTATGGCAACAACCCAGAGATGACAAAGCCGTGCTTTTAGTAAATTAGTTGTCCATATAATCTTGTACTGTTTCCTGCAAATCATTTGGTGGATGTATTTGTAGTTCACACTACAACAGAACACAGTGACGGTCGGTTGTGGTAAACCGACAAAATTATTTATTTACTTAAGCTTATTTTTGCATTTATTGGTGCCCTCTGACGACAATGTCGAACGAGAATGTGTAAATATATCAAATGTGATCCCTCCCTTTTTTTATTGATGAACAACTACAGATCTGAAGAGTGAGATGCTTGATTTTCCCTAGAAGGTGTAGTATTTTCGTTAATATTAGACACCGAAGCACTACCTGTATTGCAGTTGATTGAACGAGCCCCTATATTTACTAGGGCTTACCATATGCAAGCCGCTTCGGTAAAAACGTTGTTCGAGCTTATTAAAACTATTTTCACAATATTAAAGATATGGATTTTTTGTCAGTGCTTACTGTGATTAAATGAGGATATTATTGAAATCCAAACCAGTAAATGTCAATTTGAGAGCCAGTGCAAAAATAACAATAAATCTTTCTTTGATTTATTAAAATGAAATAAAAGTAAACAATAACTGTAATATTTGTCAGGTTTGTGGCTATATATAATATTTTAGTGTACATGAATTTAATATTGCATTAACAATAAATTCTTATAATACAATTATAACATGTTTGAGGGCTAGTTACAAAAAGCAGACATATTTAACGTCGGAAATGTTCGTATACCCCCAATACATCAGGTGGCAATTCTTTCCGACTTCAACACGTTACCAAAGATCAGTGTGACAGATATACGGAAGTGTTATGTATGCGTGTCCCAGGAGAGGATTCGCGAAACTGAGTGAAACTGTTATTGTCCTTATTGCGTTACATAAAGTGTAATTAGCCACAGGTTCCGTATTGATAATTGCGCGACAGGGAAGTGTAAATATTTGTATATACTAGTATTACAATGTGGCAATTCAAGCGTCAACGTAGTCAAACACATACCAAAGACGCATCTATACATGAATGAATCCCGACTAGTGATATTGGCCTCTCAATTGAGTCTGCGACACACTCATCCAGTTTTTGAACACAGAAACTACCAATCATTAGCTTGATACCACATAATACACTAGAGACTTTTGATGATTTAATTGGCATTATTTTAAATCGGATAGAATCCGTCAGTCATCATTCAACATATTAAAAGCATAATGCAAACAAACAAAGTGTGTTACATGGAGCTTTCGATACAATAAATACACAAATGTGTCATATTAACAATAATGAATAACTCAAAACGCCATATGTGAGGCAGTGTACGATTCGAAAACTGACGAACGCACAATCTACTCCGAACACATTTTGTTTGATTGCTTTTTCAAACCTTTAGTATCATTATATATTAAATAAATTGTTGGTTTTAGCGTACGGCGAATGAAATATTGTCACGATTGCATTTTGAACATGGTGCGTAAAGCAATATTTAACACTACATAGGAAAAATCTCACTCGAGTCATTTGCATTGCCAATTTAATACTTAGTGTGTAATCAAAATAAACAATGTACAGCTACTAGATCTATGAATATGCATGTATTCTTCTTGATATATGTGTCCAAGTACACGTTACATTCCAGTGATAGTGGATTCGTTGTCAAATAACGTTCAATACTACATATGTTAACGATACGTTCTTGCAAACAATACCATGTCACGTGATTAGCCTAGGTTACCACTTCCGCAATCTGGAAATAGTATCAAAACAAATGAGGATGAAAATGCCCAGCATATCCACGACCAATTATTTGTATAATTTCTATAATACGGCGTTTCGAAGTATTTCAATGACGCTGCAAAAATATGATTGCAATGGCATAAAACAATAACGAATTCATCTTTCTTGTTGAAAGTGTCACAAAGTATAGTATTGAATGTAGATAATGTAGATAATATAAAATACAAAGGTAGAATCTGAGTACTACGATAAACCCAAAATTTCACATTTTCCAGTTGTTCTTTAGATTTAATATATAGCTGTAATTAAGAAAGCATTTTTTCTTGATTGGGTGAAAACAAACATTTACAAGGGCGCTCTTATAATAGTTAAATTTACTTATGTTTTTCAAATATCGAGTAAATGATTTGTATACGAAGTTTCGTTTCAATTAAATATTTAATTTTGATATTTTCCAAGTCACGCGTATGTTGTGATGGGAAATAAAGGTATACTAAAGTAGCAATAATCGTATTATTAGTAAATTGAATTTCTCAAGATAAATATCCACTATCTGCAATTATAAATAAGTAAAACATTGCTATGTCACCTAATTACTACACATGTTTGGGTGTATTTTCGGTGATAAGAAACCTCTGAACCGAACAGAATACATTATATATATATATATATATATGAAAAATGGACTATGTGTGTATTCTACATGCGCGTATATTTACCTTGACTGTTTACAATTTCACATATGTAACCCTTGCGATTGTCACAGTATGCATCGTCAAAATCATACTTTGGCTTTTTCTTGTTGTTTCTCCTGTGAATTAATAAATATTCGTTTTTAATTCAATCAGTTGTGCTGGATAATTAATATTATACTGTTTGTTAATCAAACGCCGTAACATTCTGTTGCGTTGTTTTATTAATAGACTTTCCGAATGATTAAAAACGTTGATTGTGAACGGAATAACGTACCACAGTTGTGCGCAGTCCTGACCGTCAGGGTTTTTCGCTGTATTGTTATTGGGTTGATTCACTATTCTTCTTCCAACCTTTTCTGAACACCACCCATCATGATACGTTAATTCAACTCCCGCACTACCTTCAAATACATAGGTGCCTTCATTATCTCTGTCGTTGAGACCAAACCAGTATCCCCCACCTGCCGCATTCCATAGCTCGTCAATGTTTCTAATATGTGTTTTGATAGCATCGTGAGTCTCCGCACTGTTGATTAGAGCCAAGCGCCCTCCACGAAGAATACAATCATCTCTTGCAGACACCCAGTCTTTTCTATCCTTGAAGAACATGAAGAGATTGTGTCCATCGCATAAATCTAATGGAAGGTATAGTTACAGATATATTGTATGAGAATTCAATTATTAGTGTGGAATGTTTGTTTCCGATACATTACACACATCCTATATAGGTACGCATAATGATACATACATACAAACATAAACAAATGACAAACGTATGCTTAGTTAGTGGATTATTTTAGAATCATACTTTTGAGTGTCTTGCCCAACCCCGTCCGCATTTTAGAAGTTGAGCTGCGAGTGATACAAATATGTGTTTATTTATAAACTAGTATCGTCCAATGTTCAGCTCATTGTTACTATTGTGTGTCAAATATTCTTCTATTTCTCAATGACATTATTTGTTTATGTAATTCAACCCATCAGTTATTTAGACTTAGATAATATTCCTTACCTGGTAATACCGCTCCCTGTTAGAATAATGAAGCATACAATTGTGAGTTAATAAATGTTTTTTTTAGATTAAAAAATAATAACTTTTCATCACATCCCATTCAATTTCCCAGGGTAATTTGGGTGTAAATATATATAGACTCAATTACAATGTCACGTGGAGAGTAAAAATAAATAAATTTAGATCCTAATTATGAAAGAAAGAAGAAATATGTTAATTGATAGAAACTTGAGGGTGTTATCTATTGTATATTTTGTCTATGTTGGTATAAATTATTTTCTTGTTGAAAAAAATCATTTTATATATTTCAACAAATTTATACAATCAAGAAGCATTTGAATAAAATAATTCATATCATAGTTTGTTTTGTGTAAATAGATCTAATCTGCATTGAATTAAATACACAAGGTAAGTAGATTGATACACATAGATTACCTTGACCGCATATATGTGTATTAGAAACGGCATACTGGGTTGTGACGTGAAATTGACCTTTTATGTCGAGGTATAGTAATATAGATTATGTTGTATGTTACTACATGTGAAATATTTTGCTATTCGATCGGTAATGAATATTATTAGAGCTACACTGCGTAATGGCATAGGAGATGGAAGTGATACCCACTCATGTCGAACGAACTCAATGATTTGATTGGATTATTATAACATTGTTTTCTGAAGGTTTTTTCTTCTGTTATCTATAATCACTGATGATCTCTGTTCCTAATACAAAACAACTACGATATATGCACCCAGTAAATGAAATACGTACCGATTCTCTAGCAATGCTGAACACGCTCAAAACGAATAGAAGGGACACTCGGAAATTCAGCTTCATATCTAGACAACAAATTTTAACCGTCTGAAAATAAGGTTAAAAAAGAAAGTTAGGCGTTATAGTGTAACTACTAAGAGCAAATCACCTTGGAAGAGTTTTTATGATTGCGCATACCACACAGCGGCGTAGTAGTCTCCTAGGTGGCGACAAATGATGGTGCGTTCATTATCATCACAGTGACACTGTACGTTGTCGTTATTATTCATATAGTTCCACATTTTATGTAATGTATTTGGAAAATTTCAGATGTGTGAACCTGGCTATTATATGTATGTAATTACGTCGCAGCGGGACATAATCATACGAGTTGAGGAATTTGAAATTGCAATGCTCACCATATGGTTCTGGGAAGGGGCATAATTAACGTTAGGTGATAGGATGAAATGTATTGAGCTTCAC